TATATATATATACAGCCAAGATTTTCCCTATAGAGCTCCCAGCTTTAGATTTTGAAAAAGCAGTTTTCAATAAATGGATCTATAGTATTAAGCTGTATCTGTGCTATAAAGCAACAGTTCTGGTGGATGCACTATTGGTCCAGGGGCAAGGAATGAATTGCATGGTCCCACCCACTATTCTAAAAATAGGAATATACCCATTTTTGGGATTTTTGAGGTATGCAGATACCTTATGTTTTAAGAAGGTTCTCCTGCACTTCTCACTAGTTCAGTGTGGGGCTTTCTTGATTCCTTTTATTCCACATCACTATACTATGTTAGGATATCATTTTGCTATATTTAGCTATTTCAAGGTGGGTGAGAGATAGCTTTATATTGAAAAGTGCACCTACTCTGTAATAATAGATTCTGCAGTCTTTTGCACGCTTTTGTTTTACACTAACACTCCTTCATTTTACACTAAAACCAGTTTAGAACATATGCAGTATTATTGTTCACAAGCGTAAGTGTTTAGTGATGCTAGTTTACACTACTTCATCCTAGTTGTGTTACATTCAACAGCCATGAAACCCACAGAGCATGTGGTACCTGAGGAGCCCATAAAACCCACAGAACCTATAGTACCTGAGGAGCCCATAAAACCCACAGAGCCTGTGGTACCCGAGGAGCCCATAAAACCCGCAGAACCTATAGTACCTGAGGAGCCCATAAAACCCACAGAGCCTGTGGTACCTGAGGAGCCCATAAAACCCACAGAACCTATAGTACATGAAGAGCCCATAAAACCCACAGAGCATGTGGTAGCTGAGGAGCCCATAAAACCCACAGAACCTATGGTACCTGAGGAGCCCATAAAACCCACAGAACCTATGGTACCTGAGGAGCCCATAAAACCCACAGAGCCTGTGGTACCTGAGGAGCCCATAAAACCCACAGAACCTATAGTACCTGAGGAGCCCATAAAACCCACAGAGCCTGTGGTACCCGAGGAGCCCATAAAACCTGCAGAACCTATAGTACCTGAGGAGCCCATAAAACCCACAGAACCTATGGTACCTGAGGAGCCCATAAAACCCACAGAGCCAGTAGTACCTGTAGAGCCTGCTACCTCACCAGGTAAGAAGCACTTTACTTTTTATGTTTTAACAGCAAAAAACATTTATTAATCAATCAAATCAAAGTTGTTTGTCATATAACTTAAAAAATGTAAAGGTTGATCAAAGATATTCATACATTTTGGGTAATTATGATGTCTTCATCATGATGGTCTAGTTAACAAGCTGGGTATGCAGTAAGGGCTTGTTCACACCAAGCGCGGAGCAGATCCGGACCAGAGCAGGTGCAGACCGGATCAAAACTGCGTCCAATGTATTCCTATGGTATTTTGACCTCCAGTTCACATCGCAGCGTGCGGATCCAGACCAGATCCAGACCAGATCCAGACCGGATGAAAAAAATGCGGCAAGCCCTATTTTACCTGCTCTGGATCTGGTCTGGAACGCATCAAAAACGCATCCGAAACACAAAAACGCATCAAAAACGCATGCAAGTGCCTGAAAGTCCATGTTAAACTTAATTTTTTTTTTAAACAAAACCGGCCCTAAACGCATCAAAAACGCATCCAAAACGCGTCTAAAGCGCGGCACAACCCACTACACTGCGTGTGCAGAAACCTGACCGGATCTGGTCTGCATTAGGTGTGAACAAGGCCTAAACAAGAGCTTAGCAGCTACATTGCCTTGCCACAGGACTGGCAGGTAAATAGATGAATCTTCTCTTAATTAAAAAAATTAGGGCACCATTACTATATATATATAGTAGTAACATTTGCTCCATTGTTGTATTTTTAAGGTGAAATACATTGGGCTGATATAGTCAAAGTGTGTGGCAAAATGTTAGTCGATAACAATTCCTAAGGGTCTTTGTTGTTGACCAATATACCTATAACAGTGCCTTAATACATGTCTTTATATATATGCAAACAAATATTTATTAAACACTAAAATCAAACATGCGCAGTCCCATGCGTTGACCAAAAACGTAGGCACAAGTGCAGGGTCTATGTGGGGTATGCAAAGATTTTAAAGGGTGCAAACACCAGAAAATATATATATCGCTGAAGGGATCAGTGGATGCAGAGTTTCCTGTGATGCTGAAGTGAAGGAGTAGACAGATTAGCCTGATGACTTCAGCTTCCCAAGATACATTTGAAAAGTGAGCTGCCCAGACATAATAGACATAATAGTGAGCAGGAAATGCCAAGGTTCCAATTTTTTTTCATGTTTACATTCATCTTGTAAGACTTTTCTGCACTGTCTGTTGCATTGTTGCATTTTGTCTATGTTGTAGGACAGTTTGTGTTTACTTGTAGACATTAAATTCCACTTTGTCAGCTTTTAGACTACATTCACACATACTTTATGTATGGTTTCAGAGTGGTACTTTTTAGATGTGTGTCATAAGCATTTTACATGCGTTATGATCCATTAATATGGAACATGTCTTTTGCTGGAAAGTGCGCTAATGCAGCATTTTTTTCACACACCACACCTGCACTGTACCAAAACGCAGTGGTCTGAATGCATGTTCATTTTAGTAAACGCTGTCCATGATGCTAAGTTGTTGTTTTCAATCAGTTAATGTACTTCTCTTTGATCAGACCTAACACAGCAGGGCATTGCTTTTGTTTTGAGAGTTATGATACACATATATTTCTTTCATGGATATGATTAGATGCCACTGACACAGTGTTTAAACATAATTCTGAAAGATTTGTTTAGTATTAGTTATTTATATTTGGCCCATTATTTTTAATAATTCAAAGTATTTATAATATTTTATTTGTTTTATAACACCACCAAATCTTTCAGAAAGAGAATCTTGTACCTTTAACAAAAACATCCTGGCTGATGGGGAAACTGCAGAGCTTGATTGTGCCACATGGTAAGAGAATATTTTTTTTGAACAGATTCAACAGATTTAGCTTTTCATGTATGCCAGCAGACACCTCCAAATGGATCTAAACATTTGAATATACAACTCCAATTCCAAAAAAGTTGGGTCGCTGTGTAAAATCTACATATAAACAAAATGCAATGATTTGCAAATCTCATAAACCCATATTTTAGTCACATATCAAATGTGAAATCATATCAAATGTTTAAACTGAGGACATTTTCAAATTTAATGAATTTTAAAAAAATAAGGTAACTTTGAAATTGATGGTAGCAACACATCTCAAAAAAGTTGGGGCAGGTCAACAAAAAGCTGCCAAAATAAGTGGTACTAGCAAGGAAGAGCTAGGAGAACATTTTGCAACTGATAAAGTGATTGGGCAACAGATCAGTAACATGATTGGGTATAAAAAGAGGATCTTAGAGAGTCAGAGTGTCTCAGAAGTAAAGATTGGCAGAGGTTCACCAATTTGCATCTATCAATTTGCGAACAATTTCAGAATAATGTTCTTACATGTGATGTAATTTTTGCAAAGACTTTAAATATATCATCATCTACAGTACATACTATCATCAACATACTCAGAGAATCTGGAGAAATCTCTGTGCACAAGGGACAAGGCTGAAACGCAATATTGGATGTCCATGATCTTGGGGGCCTCAGATGGCACTGCATTAAAAACAGGCATGATTTTGTGATGGACATCACTAAATGAGCTCAGAAATACTTCCAGAAATCACTGTCTGTGTACACAGTTCGCTGTGCCATCCAAAAATGCAAGTTAAAGCTCTGTCATGCAAAGAAGAAGCCATATCTGAAAATGATCCAGAAACGGCGCCATCTTCTCTGGGCCAAAGCTTATTTAAAATGGTCTGTCGAAAAGTGGAAAACTGTTCTGTGGTCAGACAAATCGAAATTTGACATTCTTTTTGGCAACCATGGGTGGCGCATCCTATGGACTAAACTGGAAAGGACCCTCCAGCTTGTTATCAAAAACCTTGATCTCTGATGGTATGGGGGTGCATTAGTGTGTATGGAATGATTAGGTTGCACATCTGGAACGGCACTATCAATGCTGAAAGATACTGTATATCCAGGTTTAAGACCCTCCAGACAAAGGGGTCTATTCACAAAGCTCTCGAAGGATCCAACCAAAGCTTGAGCTGATCCTTCAGCTAGCTTCAGTTGCTGGAGCCCTTCACTTCAGTCGAACCGAAGGGTTGCTGTACAGGCTATTCACTATAGCCCATACAGCTGCCAAAGGCGGTCAAGCTGAAAGCATATGCTTTGGCTCGACTGAAACCAAGTGACAGCCGAAGGCCGGCCGTACGCCTCGCAAATGACAGCTGGGCAGAGCCAGCCGTGATCTAAAATCAGCCGTACAAGCCTGAAGTGAGTAGCCGAACAGTGTTCAGCTCACTTCACTTTGGCTGGGCTATTCACTATTCAACTGCATTCGGCAGCTTTATGAATAACCCTAAAAGTATTTTTCAGGGAAAGCCTTGCATATTTCAGCAGGGTAATGCTAAAACACATTAGATGCATGGCTTCATAGTAGTGGAGTCCGGGTGCTTAACTGGCCTGCCTGCAGTCCCGACCTCACCAATTAAAAATATTCGACGCATCTTAAAACAAAAAATATGACAAAGAAGACCCAGGACTGTTGAGCAGTTAGAATCCTATATCAGGCAAGAATGGGACAGCATTCCTCTCCCAAAACTCCAGCAAATGGGCTCCTCTGTTCCCAGATGTTTACAGAGTGTTGTTAACAGAAGAGGGGAGGCTACACCGTGGTAAACATTGCCCTGTCCCAACTATTTTGAGACTTGTTGCTGCCATCAATTTGAACATTACTTTATTTTTTTTCTTTCAATGGTACATTTTCTCAGTTTAAACATTTGATATGTTTTCTATTTTCTAATATGAATAAAATCTGGGTTTATGAGATTTGCAAATCATTGCATTCTGTTTTTATTTAGATTTTACACAGCGTCCCAACTATTTGTGAATTGGGTTGTAAAATAATGAATACCAAGGGGTATATTTATAAACAAGTGAATGCACTATTCACCAAATAGTTACTGCAGGTGAATCCTTTCTGGTGTATATATTTTAAATGGCAGTGATTGATTAACCTGCAGAAAATGTTTAGTGAAAGTCATGAAAACAGCTTTTTAGAGAGTAAAATAAGCTTGCAATGTATAAAACAAAGCACAGTCACCTAGCAGACACATCAAGTATCGCATCATAACTATACTGGATCAGCCCAGCTCCTGCTTGGGCTGCTCAGGCACCAATTATTACCTTCTTGGAGACAAGGCAAGCTTATTTACCCTAATGATGCCTGCTAGCAGGCTGCAGTCTTAGTTTATTTCACATGTCCCAGCTACCACATTTAATATTCTGCATACGTCACTGGCAGCATAATAATGTGGGAAAATAGGAGGAAGCCACTGGGTGAGATTTGTGTAGTGGGAGGGGCAGTGTCCCTAACAGGGTATTTTAAATGCATCTAAAGTGTTCTGTTTTAGGGATGGTTCCCACCACAAACAGTGCGTTCCAGAGTGGTCAGCCTCTGGTACGCACTGTATCGCAACCCGGCTAGCTCCCTGCGTTCATAGGTGAGAGGGAACGTGGTAGTGCATTGAAGTCAATGGCCCCCCCGCCCGCATTGCGATCGCCTGCGCCCAAACACGTGGCACATCAGTACCTGCATTCTGATCCAGTGCAATCTGCAAAAATAGTGCTTGTAGCATTTTTGCAGATCGCACTGGACCGGAAAGCTGGCACTAATGTGCCACGCGATCTGGTATATGCGGGCCTTACTAACTATGTATGTAACTATGTAACTATGAAACGTAACTCATACTGTACAATAAGCTTTAGAGCCTTTGAATTTACACTTTACATTTCATACCATAATGTGAGAAATAAGAATAGAACAGAAAAGAGCGGAATAGAATAGAACAGAATAGAATAGAAATAAGAAATTACAGCTAATAATATTTTTTAATTTAAAACTATTAACCACATTAGGGATATCCTCACATCAATGACTGCCTTTTGTCTTTTAGTGAATGCAATGATGGATCGCTGACCTGTGTGAAAAATGTGAGCTGTTCAGGTAATACTTTATGTGCTGTATTCTCATTTTTAGTTTTCAGAAAAGAATCATTATTGTAATCACAAAAAAAGATTACTTCAGGCTCCATTTTGTTATTGGCCAGGAGAAGAGGGAGATGAAGATGGGACCGTGGCTCTACAGCCAGAGCTAATAGACCATAGTACTGTATAAATATATTTTTTTTAAGCAGTGAATGTGACATGCACAATACATTCATTGCAGGTGTACAGATATTTAAAATTGCAGTGATGAATTCACATGCAGTGAATGTTTGGTGAATTGCAGTTTATATATATGCTTCCTAGAATTCTGACGGACATGAGCTCCAACACAGGTGTTAAGCCTAAAAATAGGGTTTGCTTTACTAAAATATTTAGTTTTGGTATAACTATGTTATTAGGGTTATCAGTACCAGTTTAACGTATGTAGAAATTTTGTATATATGTGGTACAAATGGTTTTACTGGATAAGTGCAGGCAGTGAAATGATTAACCTGTAGTTGAGTTAATTAATCTAGTAGATGGCCCTAAAATGTATCTTAACATTTAATGCAATTATTTAATATAGTTTATTGAACATATTTAATTGAAGACTGCCTTAAAATTAACTTGCTGTGAATTAAGTAATGTAATGGCTATAATGTTCTGGGCTTTCTATTTTTCAGGCATCTGTTCTGTGACTGCATATCAGATGATTCGCACATTTGACGGCACATTATATGAGAGTCCTGGAACTTGCAGCTATATTTTGGTCAAAGCCAAAGACTACACTATCACCCTGAACAATAAAATATGTTCCGAGCTGGAGACTGGTGTGAAGGCACGTAACCCTACTAATGGCTTAAAACACATCTCCGTTCAAGTGAATTTCATGTTGATGAACTTTGTTCTTCTCTTGTAGGATCAGGATGCAGTTTGTATTGAATCTGTAGATATTTACATTCCATCAAAGGCAAATATTAGGCTGCAGTCAGATGGAAGCATTCTTGTGGCAGGAGAGAAGTCGTATCTTCCATATTCTGTTCTAGGTATGTTACATACATTAATTATTTCTCAGAAAGAAACACAAGAGTTATTCAGTTATTCAGAATCTGACCTCCAGGCAGATATAAAACATACACACACATTATTGTAGCTAGATATTTATAAAAGCAGCAGCACTTAAACTGGAAGAAAGATGATCAGCACTAGCAGCCAAACAGACCCTGCAGCAGTGCACATGTATTTGTAATTATGATTCTCATAGGAGGCGAGAGTAGAGGCATGACCTCATCCATGTGCTGCTACTCCTTCATTGCCCAATCAGTAACCTGGGCATATGTTTCAGTCTTGCTGTAGTGCTGCAATTGCAATAATGGCCTGAGACCTTGTTATCCTTTTTGGTATGGGAAGCTGGCTGTATAGAACCTCAAAAAGGCCATCAAGGATCAAATATTCTGATTATTTTAGCTTCTAAAAACAATATAGGCTTGGAAGATATCATCATATGAGGTATAATGCCATCCTAACACTGTGGCCATACCAGGACAACTAAGTGACATTGTGTTCATATGGAGGAAGTACTGTGCATGACAAAAAATTTCAAAAAATATGGCTTCATTGGAAAGAAGCCAGGGGGCTGTCCAGGTATTGGAACATTAAAATGTAAACAAAAACGTTTTTGTTTTGGATAGTGTAGAGAAAGGTTAAAACTTAAAACCCCTGTTTATTTATTGTTTTCTATCTACAAGTATGTCCCATTAGCTTCCTGTTCTGGGGACACAATTGGCAATGAGCGGAAATTTCAAAAATTTTAAGAAACTTGCCCTCTTAGACAGTTGTGAACAAAATAGGTTTCTCCATCGGAAGCTTTTTCCTACCCTATTGCTCTGGTGACAACTCTTCAGTTTTGGATTTCCCATTACTTTTTGTGTTGGTGACAATTGAGAAGGTGAATCATTCCAACAATGACACAGACAGCAATAAAAACCTGAGAAGCATAATACGGCTACACCCTAACCCTTCCACACAGTGTCCAGAAGTAAAAACCAAAAAAGTTTGGCTTTACACTTTAACTTTCCCTAACAATCTTTTAAAAAAACATCCTATGACAGTAATATCCACCTCAAAAAGCAATGATTTCTAATCTTATTCTTATTTCTAATCTTGCATTAAATTGAACAATATGAACACAATTTCTAAATTAACAAAAAGTTATTTTCATTCACGCTGTATTTACAATTCCACTTAGACACCATTACTGTCTTAAGAAGTTCTTCAGTCTTCCTGGATGTGGTCAGCCATGAATTTAAGTTGCAGTATGCCTTTGCCAGCAGCCGGCTTTATGTTATACTTGATGCCAGCTACAAAGATACAACCAGTGGCTTGTGTGGGACCTACAATGATAATCGTAATGATGACTACAGGTAAAAATAATATATTTTTATTATTACAAGAGACGCCAAGCTTGAACATCAATACTGTTTGCTATGATTTCAGCTGAAAAGCTTTGGTCAGTCTGCCTATTTGTGATATTTAATTTATGCTTAAGTCCAGTAGATTACTCCATAGTTTGTGGCCATATTCCTGCCCTCCATAGAGTCTGCTACAACAGAGTTTGTATTACTTTTTTTCTTGCATTCTCCATAATATTACATAAAATAACACAACAACTGGAACATTGGCATTTCCTCATGTGCAGGACTGGAATTTTCCACATTTTTACTACAAGGTTATATGTCAGGTTTAGATAGGACTAACTTATTGAAGGCTGACCACTGAAAGCTCATATTTCAGATTTGATTAGGAGACATTGGGGGTGATTTACTAACCTAAACACACGCACGCACCAGGTGCGTGTGATTTTCACAAAGCAAAACGTATTTATCAACCAAAAAGTCTCTAAAAGCATATTTCCACTAATGCCATATAAGGAAAAATCATGCACATGATGCATATATAATGCTGCTTCACAGTTTAGACAAAAATGGTTAGCTCATGCATTTACATTCCTGCATTCATCAACGCAAGCAACACAACATAGAGCTAATTTACACAACATCACCTTGCAATTCATGCTTGGCTTTGCACAACACACCTGCTGGGTGTGTACACACTACAAAGGTGTTTAGATTCCACCCATAGATCATGCTGGGAGGGAACACACTACAGAGGTGTATACATGTTCGTGTTGTGTTTATAAGGTTAGTAAATCAACCCCATTGAGTTAATGGGAATCTAAAGTGATTTTGTGTATATGTTCTTTCTTTCTTTATTCTATTTTTGTGTTTCTACATTCAGCCAGCAGATATAGCTCCAGGCTACTTTTCACATTTGTAGGGACTCCTTGCCCCAATTCTGAACCCCTCCAACCTATTTTTCTTCAGACAACGTTTGCTATGCTCTTTCATTAGAAAGTTTATGGTGCTCTGTGAATTCAATGTTATGGGAGTACCCTATATTAAATGTTTATTTGTAAAACAGAGATTGTATACGGAAACAAACTGATTTGAAACAGCTTTGAAACATTAGTTTAAAACAAAATGATGTTGCCATATATTATGCAGAGACAGGGATTAAATGTGTATAAATAGAACATGTACTATACAATATGAATCTGGCTGTAGTTTCAGGTTTGTCATGCTTATTGTTTCAGTAACTACATCTTTAGCTGTATGCAGTATGTTGCATTTTATGCTACTATATTTATTTTACTAATGAATGATATGTTCATCAAACACAGGAGCTCAAATGATATGACTGAAACTGTATCCGGCTTGTTCAGCAAATCTTGGAAGACACAATTCCAGTGTTCAGAAAGTGAAAGATTGCAAGAAGACAGAGGTAATTATAAGACTAGCAAAACTTTGTTCCTGGGGGAAGTAAATTGTTAAATAGCTATGAGGCCTCCAAATATCCTCGTTTGTGTACATTCGATCTATAATTTTATTGTAAAGCCACTTTATTAGTATACTTGCAGCATACTTTCAAATGACAAATTATTTATCAAGGCTGTAGAAGCCCTAGTTCATAACCAACATAGAATTGGTATATTCTTAATGTAATCTAGTTTACTCACAATATTCTAAATCATATTTATTTCATGTTTATTAATAGGTACATTGATCATGTCTACATTGATTAGAAAATAATCTAATCTTATTTTCTTTTTATCTTACAGATAACAAAGTGCAGGCTGATCTGGAATGCTCTGCAGCCCTGGATAGTTCCATCTTTGAAGACTGTGGCCTTCTAATTGACACTCACAGCTACAAGATCTCTTGCTCTCACAGTGCATACTATGGTGGATCTATTGGATTTTGTTCTGCCATGGCAGACTATGCCTATCGCTGTGCCCGTGCAGGAATTTTTGTCTCTGTTAGCTCTACATTTGATACATGCAGTAAGTGTTTGGAATTGATCTTTATATTTTATTTACTTTGGATAAGGGTGTGGCTTCATCTGAAGTTTGCAAAATTATTTTGTTAGAATACTGTCAGAATAAGTAATTAATTGGCCACCATCGAACCTGAATACCTTCAGATAAAAAAGTATGATAAAAATAAAACTTTTATTCAAAGGTATCAAACTTCTAAGCACAATATAAGTATTCTCATTAAATAGAACAACAGTAGGAAAACAGGTGGTAAACAATAAATGTCAAACTAAGAGACAGTCTATAAAAAAAAAAGTGTCAGGATGTCATGCAGACCATTTTTTTCAAGTAAGTGCATCTAAAAAAGTAAAAACAGAACACAAAACCTAGACTACATGTTAAATAGTGCATACTGTTCACTAAAACAAAGTGCATGGTGCACACTAGTGTGTGTGTGGGTGGTGGTGGGGGGTTGCTTTTTATTATTATTTTATTTATTTCTTCTTATTATTATTATTATTTAACCTCCATGGCGGTATGATTATTTTGATTTTCGTAATTTTTTCGGCACAATTTTTTTCGTTATTTCATTTCTTCGTTTTTTCCGGGGTTTTTTTCGAATTTCTCGCCGGTTCCGCCCCCATGCGACGCGTCAGCTCGCAATGGACGGAACCCGGAAGACAGATGCCGGCGCCGGCCGGAGGACACCGCACGGCTCGAGGGACAAGGTAAGTAAATAATGTGGGATATTCCCGAGTGTAGCTCAGGGTATGGAAAAGTAACCCCGAGCTACACTCGGAATACCGCCAAGGAGGTAAATTTTTTTGTAACTGTTGGGAGGCAAACAGACCCCTGAAATTTCCCTTTTGAAATAGAAAAAGAAATTGTGGACACAATTTATTTTTCTGCAGCCCCTGTTATGAACGAATAGAAAGCACTCAGTACAGAGGCTTCCTATTCATTCACAAACTGGAGATAGTAAATATTTACTATAAACCAGTTATGAATAGATAGAAGCCTCTGTACTGAGCTGCTTCTACCTATTCAGAAACTCATGAATGAACAGGAAGTGATGTAAGTGAGGAAGTGTTGTTTTTGGGATTGGTAAATATTACACATATTTACCGATCCTCTGCTCGGCCATCCTGAAAGTGACAGGAGCTGCTCGGCCATCCTGGATTTGACAGCTGGAAGCTCGGCATTCTTTTCCCCGCTCATCCATCCTAATGACACTACTCCCTCCTCCACCCTCCCGCCGGTTTCAGCACTCCATTTCTCCTCGGATCCCCACTGCCTCTGCCCATACAGGCCCACTGCCTATGCCCATACAGGCGGGGAGAACAGTGGGGAGCCGAGGAGAAGCTGCAGGCTATGCTGCCCCCCTACTCCCTCCCGCCTCGAGGCCATGGCCTCGGTGGCCTTGTGGGGAACCCGGCCAAGAGTGCAGCTAGTGTCATAGCGACTAGAAGCTGTGTCGGCCGCCTGGCATCAATAATGCCCTGGCGCCCTGTGCGGCTGGACAGCTCACACACCCCAAAGGCCGGCCCTGATTATTAATTGTGTAATCATAAAATTCATGCCACCAAAGTAAGCAGGTGTCTAGCTGTCTGCATTCTTGATGTCGTCTTGAGTCATTTAATATCAAACTTAAATATCAAATCCTAACTCATTGAAACAGATTTGGCCTATAGTTCCTCATACTCCTGCCAGAAGTTGGATTTGTAATTTGTTTTACCTAAGGTCAACTTTCCACCATGGTGATTTGACTTGATGTGCAATGTCATATCTTGTGACCATGCTATTTTTAGTCTTCCCAGACTTTTCCTTAACAGGAATATACAGGGCTATAGCACTGCAACCAGCCCCAAAAGGGAGTTTTTAGCACATGCACCTGGCTTACAGTACTAGCAATGTTATAGAATGTTTTGTTAAGAAGCTTTTTTTTAATAATGATATTATTCCTGGTTTGTTTTTTTTATTTTCTGCTTTAGTAATAACTTTAAAAACCCTCTATTTTTACTTGGCATTCTTGCTTGCAAACTTTAAATTGACGGATCAAAGGATAGAAATAAATGGCACTGTGAGAGCCACATACCTGTCATATGCTATTAAAGTGTCTCAGTGGGTAGCACTCCTATCTTGCAGTGTTAGCATCCTGGGTTCCATACTAGTACAATGGAGTTTGCTGCATTGTCTATGTGTTTGATGTGGGTTTTATTAACATTTTGTTATTTCAGTTACAACTTTACCAGCTTTTTCAGGTAAATGTCTTTATTCATGTTTCAGCTCCAGTGTGCGAAGGTGATGTGACCTTCATTACCGATGAAAATTTCTCTCAACAAGACTGTTCAGAAATGTCTTCAATTAAGCTCCAGAAGATTACATCATCAGTCCCTCTGAACGAAGCCTGTATCTGCCCTTCCGACCTCTACTATGATGCCTCTAAAAATAAATGTGTAAAGGGGTAAGCAGATACCCATTATCATTCATGTTGTTTTTGAATTATTTCCAATATTTTTTAAGTGGACCTGTGGTCTCCACATGATAGTGCTTAGCCCCTGGCTGTCTCTTATTCCAATATGTTTAAAATTCCCTTCTCAACATAAGTCTGCATCAAATTAAGTCAGAGCTCTGGATCTGTATACTTTTCTTGGTCGCTGACTCAGGAAACATTGAAACAATTGGTTCAGCATAGCAGCCAGGCAACTAGCATTTGTAGATGTAGACATCAGAAATGGCAGTTTCATATTTAATGTTAACACTGATTTTCTTTGAAGGATTATGTTCTCATTTTTTTGTTCATAAATGTTAGGTGGATGCAAGTTTTACAAAGGGATTTAGTTAGGTTTCACAAATGTGTACTTTTTGGTCATATATTTTTACTGGTCACTGGAACATTGCAAGAATGTAAAGTTATGGAGATTTTCTCATTTGCTACTTTTTTCTTGTGATTTACTGAGCGTTTACAATTTCATTCATATGCTAAGCTATACAATTATACTCTATGGGGTCTATTCACAAAGCTGCCGAAGGATCTAGCCGTAGCTTCAGCTGATCATTCGGCTAACTTCGGCCCCAGGACCCCTCTTTCCCTGCTCTGTTGTTTTTTTGTTTTTTTTCTTCTGACATCGGAGCCGCCGGCTGCCGTTAGACAGAAAAAAAACGGCATAGGAATGCATAACTACATTCCTATTGGCTATTTCACTTTGCAATAACCAATAACAAACTAGCTATTGCACCTGCACACTGCTGCTGTCAATCAGCAGAGGGGACCTGAAGTTCTCCATCTGGTCCTCTTATAGTGATTGACAGCAGCAGAGGGCAGGTGCAATAGCCAGCTTGCTATTGGATATTGCAAATTGAAATAGCCAATAGGAATCTAGCTATACATTCCTTTGCTGAATTTATTTATTTATTTAATTTTATTTTTTATTCTGATGACATCAGCTGTCAGAATACTAAAAAAAAAATGGCAGATAGCAAAGAAGCTATTGCTTCCTCTGCTAACTGCCATAATTTCAGGGGGGTGCTCTCTCCCCCCTGCATCACAATGAGAGCTTAGCAGAGCCGGAGGTGATATGAAAGCCAACTCTGCTGAGCTCTCATGGTACTGACAGTTCAGCGTCCCCTGGTTACTTGGTAAAACCAGGGGAGGCTGATCTGTCATTGTAATGACAGCTTGTCCCGACCAATAGAAAACAGTTGGGTGGAGCTAGCTGTCACTACTAGCTCCGTCCAATCATTTTCTTTTTTTTTTTTACTTTTTTAAACTGGTTTTCTATTTTGCTCGGTACCACGGAGGTACCGAGCAGAATAGCTGAGCTGAATGCCGCTCGGCGGCATTCGGCTATTCACTCACTGCTGTTCGGCCCCATATGAGAATAGGCCGAACAGCAGCGAGTAGCCTGCCGGAGGTTCGGCTCAGCCGATCCAGATGTTGGATCAGCTGAGTCGAACTCCTTCTGCACTTCGGGTCGGCCGAACATGCACGTAGCTTCAGCTGATCATTCGGCTAACTTCGGCCCCAGGACCCCTCTTTCCCTGCTCTGTTGTTTTTTTGTTTTTTTTCTTCTGACATCGGAGCCGCCGGCTGCCGTTAGACAGAAAAAAAACGGCATAGGAATGCATAACTACATTCCTATTGGCTATTTCACTTTGCAATAACCAATAACAAACTAGCTATTGCACCTGCACACTGCTGCTGTCAATCAGCAGAGGGGACCTGAAGTTCTCCATCTGGTCCTCTTATAGTGATTGACAGCAGCAGAGGGCAGGTGCAATAGCCAGCTTGCTATTGGATATTGCAAATTGAAATAGCCAATAGGAATCTAGCTATACATTCCTTTGCTGAATTTATTTATTTATTTAATTTTATTTTTTATTCTGATGACATCAGCTGTCAGAATACTAAAAAAAAAATGGCAGATAGCAAAGAAGCTATTGCTTCCTCTGCTAACTGCCATAATTTCAGGGGGGTGCTCTCTCCCCCCTGCATCACAATGAGAGCTTAGCAGAGCCGGAGGTGATATGAAAGCCAACTCTGCTGAGCTCTCATGGTACTGACAGTTCAGCGTCCCCTGGTTACTTGGTAAAACCAGGGGAGGCTGATCTGTCATTGTAATGACAGCTTGTCCCGACCAATAGAAAACAGTTGGGTGGAGCTAGCTGTCACTACTAGCTCCGTCCAATCATTTTCTTTTTTTTTTTTACTTTTTTAAACTGGTTTTCTATTTTGCTCGGTACCACGGAGGTACCGAGCAGAATAGCTGAGCTGAATGCCGCTCGGCGGCATTCGGCTATTCACTCACTGCTGTTCGGCCCCATATGAGAATAGGCCGAACAGCAGCGAGTAGCCTGCCGGAGGTTCGGCTCAGCCGATCCAGATGTTGGATCAGCTGAGTCGAACTCCTTCTGCACTTCGGGTCGGCCGAACATGCCGAGCATCGGAAGGATCCAAAGAGGATATACCCACACAGACTAAATCAATGTGAGTAGGATTGTCAAATCTACTCTGTATGAAATAATGGAATTGGGTATTCCCACATATTGAAATCAAAACCCCCCCGGTCTATCATTGAGGGGAAGACTTTTATGCGATGTTTCACTCACACCAATATAGGTGCTACTATCCATAATTAAGTCCATATACTAGCCACCGTTAGCACCTGTTGAACTCGCCCCGAAGGGGAGGAAAGGGAAAAAAATACCTTGATCTGGGACATTGAGTTCAAAAGAAGTCCATTGATAGTTTGAAAACAATATATTTAGTTTCGAACTACTAAGTGTCTAACTCCCGCATCACGGGAATCCACCTACCTAAGGAGCTACTATCTAGCAATTTATTGCCGAACTAAAGCATATACAGACGCAATTAGGTGGCATCCTGTGCGTTCTAGATATATGCTTCTAAACCAATGTGATACCCAGTGTATACAGGGTTAACCCCCTCCATCCGGAACATATATCATCCTTTATTGAAAGCTGGTTCTTGTGGTCTTGATGTGTATGTGCATAATAATAGGGTTTATATATCCGATGAAATAACTACTTGAATTTCAGTCAGTATTGTCTTTCACTGTTTTTAATGGTTTGTTAATAAGGTGTTGGCTGTGGTCATTATTTATATGAATAAAATATTTTTCTACTAATATCCAATTTGTCAGTCCCGATCTCTAGTTGACCCTTGGACTCTCTATACTATGTAGTCAGTCCCTTTATGCGCTTTTTTGTTTATGTCATTGCTGGTTACTGATATGGTAGACTGACCTTCCAAAAGGGTTTATGAGAACATAGTGTGCTTACTATAACCACAGCTATGAATGAACAGGAGGTGATGTAGATCACTTCCCATTCATTCATAATTGAGGATATAGTAACCATGCTATGTCCTCAATTATTTACAAACACTCAGCGATCACTGATCGGTGAGTGTTTGTACCTCGCTCTCCATCCTGACAGCTGTCACAGGAGGCTGAGTGAGCGGTGCTGGAGGAGAGCTCAGCCTCCTGTCACAGCGCTGGCTGTCTCTGCCCACACTGCTTTCCTCTGCTCTGTGACAAGAGGCTGAGCGGTGTGAGGCGCTCACAGCGCTCTCGTCCCGCAGCGCTAGGCCACCTGTGACAGTTTCTCTCCTCCCCGCTGGGACACAGAGCAGCGTCCAGCAGTGAGGAGAGAAAGAACGGTTGCACCACTGTATCAGCCAGAAAATGGCACTTTCGACATTATGTCAACTATATCGGTGCATCCCTATATTTATTTGTGGCACTTTAGCACTTTAGCATGGCTCATTAGTGTCAGCACTAGTGATGGGCCGAACACCAATGTATTCGGTTTGAATTCGAAGTTTCAAACATAGGAAAAGTTTGAATTCAAACTCAATGCAAGTCTATGGGGGTAGAACTTTGAAAATCAAATGTCACCATTTTGAAGCCTTATATGCAATTTATTGGACATAAAAAGTTTATGGGGACAGGAATCAATAAAACTTTTTTTTTAAATACAGTTTTTAAAAGAGCTGTGATTTTAGCATCATTTAGAGGGTAACAATAAACATGAAAAATTTATTTCAATATCATGCCTGGTGGGTCCCCTTAAACTGCTTGTAAAGTGGCGAATCTGTGTGATGTTTAGAACCTGCTGCAGCAAAACTGACATTTCTAAAGAAAAAAAACACGACTTTTTCTTTTCTTTTAAAAGCGTGCGGTTCCCCCTCCCAAACAATACAAGACCCAGCAGGTCTGGTAGGAATGTTAGGAGGGACCCCATTAAAAAAATGTGTGGGGTTCTCCCCAAAGTCATACTAGACCTTTAAGGTCTTGTAGGGATTTTAGGAGGGACCCCATGTAAAAAAAACTAATAAAAAAGTGGGGTTCCCCCTTAAAGTCATACCAGGCCATTAGGGTCTGTTGGGAATTTTAAGGAGGGGGGGGAGAACATGGGGTCCCCCTTAAAATTCCATACCAAACCCTTGATCCGAGCACAGGCCTGGCAGGGGAGGAAAGGGGGGGGGGGCGAGTGAGTGAGCGCCCCACCCCTCCCTCGCATACCAGGCCACATGCCCTGGCACTGGGAGGGTGGTTTTCCAGGGTCGCCCCTGGAAAAGCACCTTGTCCCCGTGCCGATGGGGACAAGGGCCTCTTCACCACAAGCCCTGGGGCATTGGTTTTGGGGTGCGGAGAGGGGGCTTCACATCAGGGTACCCCTTCAATAAAGGGGCACTCAGATGTGGTCCCACCTTGTGACTGAGTAAGGGGTACTTGTACAAAGATTTCAAAAAAGAGGCCACACTTTTGAAAAAATCCTTAATTAAAAAAAAACAAACAAAAGACATGTTTTTGAAAAGTCTTTTATTTAAAAAAAAATATGAATCCACCGATGTAATCCAGCATCAATCATGACATCCAGCGTTGTCCATGACGACGACTTGACAAAATAAAACAATACAAAATAAATAGAAATAATAATTAAAAAAAGGACGACCGTCGTCCCATCGCTGTGATAAACACCCACCGCAGAATGGCATGTTGACAGATGCTGGCAACTTATAAACAGTTGTAACAGGTGAGCCATGATTGGACAGAGTCATCATGACTTTGCCCCATCATGGCTCTCACAGTTCTCTGGGCCCTGATTGGGCAAAGTCTTGCGCCTGACCTGCGGTCAGGCGCAAGGCTTTAGCGAATCAGGGCTCACAAGGCACAGTGCCTGGTACGGGGTGCTTGGCGGGCTAACAGCCCGCCGAACACCCTAACAGTTTGTGTGTTCGCCAAACACGCAAACTGCCGATGTTCGAATCAAACTCATGCTCGGCTCGAACATCGAGTCCATCACTAGTCAGCACATATTTAGAGATTATTTGAGTATCTACAGCTGAGTGATCACAAATAAGGTACAGTATTGTTAATAGTTATGGTACTTGAAGATTTAACTACTAGTGTAATGTCACTTTAACAGGTTTCAGATGTTGGTATGCAGACCAGAGAGAAAATAGGAAACAGTCTGTCATTCAGACACATACATGCAACTTCGATATTAGTCCTTGTTGGCAACAAATGTGAAAAATTGGTAGGATGCTTCCCTGTGATGGGTAAAATGTAGGTGTGCTTTGCACCTGCAAAGGCAACTTCTGTGCTGTCCCATGCCTGATGTGACACTCTCATGGAGGTGGGGGACTATTTACAACCATCTGATGCAAAGATGGACACCTGAAAACTAGGTGTTAGTTACTATGAGCGTAATTAAATGGGGTCTCCTACTTCCCTTTTTGGTAAAAATTTATTTTTTTAATGTTTTTTTTTTAGAGATGAATGCCCTTGCTACATAAAAAACCATGTGTACGAGTTAGGAGAGATCATCACTCAGCCCAACGGACAAACCTGGTAAGATCGTCTTGATGAATCTACGTAACTAGAGAACTTACATTTTAAAATACGCCTCCAGTATCTAACTCTCTCAGTTTTACATGGAGAGTCTGCTCATTTGTAAATATTTTTCTACCAAGAAAATAACCTTTATCAACAATTCAAAACTGCTATCTTCAGTCTGGTTAGAATAATTGCTTTACAAATATTCAGGTATATGTCAATGGAACGTTTTATTTTATATAGCATATGAATTGATTTACTAAAGGCAAATACTATGTTCACTTTGCAAGGAAATTTTCCCTTAGATTAGTGAAATAGGTGAAGCTCTGATGACTTCTATCATCCAAGCATGTGCAAGCAAAACATTTTATTTTCCTTGTACGCAATTGGGTATTTTTGCCATGTGAAACTTTTACCACATTTACTAAGCTAAGGGAAAATTCCTTTGTGAAGTGAAAATTCCCTTGCAAAGTGAACATCACATAAATCATCTTGTTGTCTTTCAGCCCCTGTGATAGAGTAATACAGTGTGGGGAAACTGAACAGCCCCCGGCTCCTGGTAAGTTACTCATGTTCCAATGTGATAGAACCCTACTATGAAAGCAATACTACCATCCCTGTAAAAAGCATTTCACTCACTTTTGCCTACTACAGTTGTGCAGTCATTTAAAAGAATTTATTTTTAAATACAACTAGCATAAGTACCTGAATCTGTCTTGAAATGAGCTTCCTGTCATGTACTGCACAGCAGCACCTAGACTAGGAGAGGGAGGGCCAGCACTAACTTAGCCTAGCAAGCTCTACTTCATGTACATATGCTGACAGGAAACGTGCTGGCTGGAAGAAGGACTTATCAGTGTGTTGCTGCTTCTTTATTGTCCAATCAGCAGGTTGTGTGTGCTAAGGTGATTTAATAACCCCGTGTTGTGTGCCTGCTGTGCACATTATATGCCAGCACTAATCACAAGGTGAAGGAATTTGACAGGACATGTCCTGTTTTGTTCTATTGATCTGGTTTTTGATTATTACTCACCCACTTGTGCACAGAAGATGTAGCATTGCTAAGAGTAAATGATTCATATACGTAATGTCAGTGCAGATTTGGTTAAGGTGCACAAAACAGAGCCTGTTGCTGATGGGATTCATATACTGAATGGATAGCTGCATACATAAGTCTACATACTGTAAAACAAATTGATTATGAAGTTTTTATAGTCCTGGGCATAAAAACTCTGAAAAGGTAAATTTATACATGTCCCAGAGCAAATTGCACAATTAAAGATTAGACCTTGCTGGTCACTATGTGTAATGTTAGCTTTTTGTTCTTTCTTCCAATTTTTGAATAAAAAGGCCATTGTAAGAATATTGCTGGTTATCTTTGACTGCAAGGATTATAACGGATTTGCTTTCTTTTATTGGCAGAGGTGGAGACTTGCTCTAATAATGAAACATACTCAGACTGTTTGGTGGGTTTTGGCAAGTCATGTGAACCAGCTTGTCAGAACCTGGCAGTGCTGGATCAAATCTGCACTCTTGACTGCCAACCAGGATGTATCTGCAAAACTGGGTAGGCATTTTGTAAATTTAAGGTGTTCCTGATCTGTAACAACACAACTTTACTGTATATCATACATTCTGTGTTCTAACTCATGCTGCATTACCTCCTAGTCTATTGAGAAGCAGCGATGGAAATTGTGTACCACTAAATGAGTGCCCTTGTCTGCATGGTGATGATGTGTACACTCCTGGTGAAACACTGGCACGTGACTGTAACACATGGTAAGCTAACACTTTAGTTGATGGCAATAGTCCGGAGCAGTTATTTTGCCTCTCTCCATATAGACATACCCAAGTGAGAAAAAATGTAAACAGTGAGGGAGACTCAGGTACAGCTTGTGATAAGGATAGCTAATGTGCAAAGGTCAAATTAGAGAGTGAATGCTGACTTTCTAGTGAGAGATGTTCTCATTATCACATGCTGGGAAATCTATGTAGAGCAACTATTGCAATGCATCTTCCACAATTGTTTCTTGAATGAGAGGAACATAGAGAATCCCAGCAATTTTGTAAATGAATCAAGGAACAGCAGATTTCTCATCACTCAATGTTCTCAGTGAAAAGTCTTTCCATCCTTGGCACCACTGTAAGAAAACAATGATGTAATTGTGACTGACCATAATCTAAATTAATACCATAATAAAAATGTAAAATAACACTAGATAGCAGTACCAAGTGAAACTACTTATGACCACCATTATTTCCAGATTACTTTTTTTGGCAGAGGTCTCAGACCTCTGCAAAATGCAAATATTCCCTATTCGTCTTTTTTCACAGAACATACATTTACTAAGTATTATACAAGTACAGGAGTAGGTTTAAGGACAAGCTACAGCAATCTGTTAGACAATGTAGATGTTAAAGTCCATGTGATATAATTAAGCAAAGTTGCAAAAAATAAAAGCAAAGTAACTGAAATATCTATTTTATGTTTTAATTTCTTTTCAGCATGTGTGAAAATGGCAAGTTTGTGTGTACCAACAACCCATGTAACAAAGTGTGTAACACTTATGGCGGATCCCAATTCTTCCTGTTTGATGGAGCCTGGAAGACTTTTTCGACAAGGAAATGTGCAATTTTGCTGGTTGAGGTTAGTTGAAGAGAGGAAGCAAGAAATGTTTATGTAAACCAGAATTGATTCTAAAAAACATTTTTTTATACAGTCCCAAATTGTAACAGATAATTTCATCAAGGAACAAAATCAGTAAACTTTTATTATATAAAGGTAACTCTAGTGAGCTCCAGCTCAGTCATTTAGAAAGTACTCAATTCTGTGGACCAAAATGACAGTCAGGAAAGAAGTACTTTTAGATATGTCTGCAATGTTAGCACCCACACTTCATTAGTATTCATGTCTTTGTATTCACCTGTTATTTTAATGTTTTACATGCTCCTTTTAGAGGTTCTTCTCCTGTTGTTAAAAATCTAGCAGGCCAGAAAATACATTTTCCTATTATGCCCAAAACAAAACAAAATTCAGGCACATGTTGACTGCAGTTCTTTTGAAATATCACTTAGGCTAGGTTCATACCTAGGCAATTCAGCTGGTGAGCTGTTTTTGTATGGTTGTCATGCATTTTTGTTTGCACAATTTTGCTTTGAAAACTGCGTGGTTGTCGCACGATTTTCAATGCATAGAGATGTCTATGGAACCCAAATCGTGTGACAACTGTCTGAAAATAGCTCCTTCACCCTTTTGCTCAGCAGGCGATTTCTACCGCGCTTAAAAACCACAAAGGTGTGAACAGCTTCCATAGACTTGAATGCAAATATCTGTCTTGTGCAAAATCCACACGATAAATCGCCTAGGTGCGAACCCAGCCTAAATCTAAAATAACGTACTTCCTACTTTAGTTTTTCAGATTATATGATAACTGATATGGTATTTTTTTATTTGTTCTCGTGCCATCAAGACAATTGTGTTTGACAAACCTGTTCAAAAGTTTGATATTTTTAAGTTTTGAATACTGTAAGAATATGACAAATGTATAACAAACAACATACATAAAGTATTTAATGTATACTATTTCATTTTCTTTCTTAGTCTTTGCCAGGTGAAAGCCCATCATTCAGTGTTGTCATGCAAAATACCCCTAATGAGGATCTAGGTGGAGCTTTGATCAGGAAGATCATTACCATCAAATTTGAAGGAACTACAGTGCTGCTCAGTGACTCTGATCCTATAGTGGTAGGTGTTGAGCCAACAAGAGGCATGGCTGTTTGGGGACTGGGATATTTAAAGCGATTAAAAGTTATTTATCAAATTCTATCTAGTGTAGCAGAATTTAGTTTCATATAAATTATTTGGTTTTTGCAGCAATTTTGAGCTCATGACTTCTACTCTGCATTCCTCTATATTTTCATCCAAAATATGGGGGAACTTCTGATAAATGTCACTGCTAATTGTTTGCCATTTGGTAAGCTTTCCCTCACTTCATGTCCTTGTGTCATCAGCTTTAATTCTTCGATGTGATTTGCTTGTAGATTTCCTCAGATTTCCACTCCACGTAATAACGCTATCACAGTTATTCACAGGAAGTGAGAGGAAGTCTATCAAGGGGGGCAGAGAAAGCTAAATAATCTGTGACAGTATGTACACCTTTAGTCAGATAAAAATCCTTACAAAAATGTTGATACAATTATCTTTTGATATTTTACTAGCCAAAACCTGTGGTATATTTGTATGGAATAATCAGTGGTGTAACTATTGCCATAGCATCCCAGGTGGTTGCGATGAGGTATGTGGATGGAAGGGGGCCCCATTAGGTTGTTGTGGCAAATAAACATAGAACATAATACAATACTTTTAAAATTAATGGTTGGAGTGTTTGCAGTTGACGACAACTCTAATTCCCTGAAAAGTTCACAGTGTAAAGACGACTTCAGATGTACAAGAGGAGTCTTTTGGATTTTGGCATTATTACACATGTCAGAGAGAAGTCTTGGGGGGGGGGGGCCCATCTAGACATGTGCGATTCGTTTCGTTCCGAAACGAAATTCGACGAATTTTCAGAAATTCGGACATTCGGAAGAATCCGAATTCCGAATTACAGATATAGCGAAATGCAAACAAATTCAAATTTCCGAAATTCATTAGCAGTAGTTCGTTCGACCTTTCATTTAGTTTCTTATTCGTTTCGTTGGTTCGTTGCAGCAAAGCGACAAAGTGAAGGAGAAAAACATTTCCCACCCTCAAATGTCACTTTCCTGCAATGAACGAATGAATGAACGAAACAAATAAGAAACTAAAACGAAACGACCGTTCGAACGAACTACCGCTAGCGAATTTCGTCTGAATTTCGAATCCGAATTGACTTTCACATCCGAATCCCGAAAAACGAAATAACACAAAATCCGAATCAAAACAAAACGAAACTAAACAATTTTTTTGCCAGTGCACATGTCTACCCCTATCACATTCGTGTGATCTGTAGTTATGGCCCTGGGTATAATTGTATGGAATAATGAAAAAAAGTTAAGATGCCCTACAACTAGATACTAGATAAGTCATGTCTGCATTGTCTCACTGCAGCCAGTTTGTAACAAAACTGCACAGGAATGAGACATGAAAAATATTTAAACTATTTTCTTGACCATGCAAAACTCAATCCTTCTGTAAAATACAAATTTTGCATAAAATGCAGAATAAGAAAATACATTTTCCCTATTGTTCATTAGTAAGCAAGCTGTACACACTTGATTTTCTGGTTTTCATATCATACACCATGTAGGGATTAACAAAAGCAAGCTATGCAATGCATTTGAGCATCGTTGCAACAATCAGGCCATGCAGAGGTGCAACCATTATTGTGACTGGTAGCCGGTTCCCTTTTTTTGTGGATAAGAAGGAACAAATCTTTAACCAAGTGTGCGTCACACCCTTTTGTTGGCAAAATTAGGTAGAAGACCGAGAATGAGAAGCTCTGCCTGCTATTCTTGGTGATGCAAAGTGACTACCTGACTAGGGTTATTATTCTTTGTCATAGAAAGTTTTTGCCAAGAAGGATATCTTTTTTAAAGGCAAAGTCTACAAAAAGCCTTCTTGCATTACAGTTAAAAAATAATATGGGAGCTACCACTGCTCTGGGGTACTACGGGTAGCTCCTTATCCTGCTTTTACATTTACCTATTACTAAACGCCCTCATACAAGATGAATGTTTAAATCAGGCTTGTAGTAGGATTTCCTGCTGGGTAAACACATGGGAAAGAATGGGGGATATTTAGTTGAACTTATAGGAAGGAGAAAGCTCAGAGTAGGTGTCACTGATGAAGCAATTTACATTGGCAATCCAATGAAAGACAGGCAGTGGTGTAAAATCTTAAAAAAAGTCTCAAAAGTGTTCTTAGATCTTATGTAAATGCATTTGAAAAGCAGAGAAATGCATTACAATATGAATCAAAGGGGCACAAAATAATGCATTTGCTTCAGCTTAGAGAGTGCTTTGAGAGTTGTTAGAACATCTTCAGAAATTAAAATAATTCAAATGGATGTAACAGCACTCCAAAGCTGAACAAATGCATTATTTTGTAGTGGCCCCCTTTACTTTGCTCACTTTGCATTGCCTTGAGCTTAATTAAAAGTATGTTTGTACAAGAGCCCAACTCTCCGCCATGCATACATACAACAGGGCATGCTGACTGCAATAGTAAACTCATTACACTGCAAATCCTGAGGAAGGTAAAACAGTTCCTAAATACTGTATGTGTTTGTGGTGTATTTAGCTGTTTAGCTGGAGTTGCCTTTTAACAAGAATATACTTAAAGGCTGTTTACATGTCTCTCAGGCCCACATTGACTCCAGAATGCTAATCAGTAATTGTGTGCCAAATGTATTCTTTCTTTAGCTACATGATTTGGGTTCAAGGCCTGAATTTAGAACCTACCGATCTGGATTCTATGTGGTTGCCCATTTCTTGGAAGGGCTTGCTGTTTACTATGATCAACACCTGGATGTCATCATTCAGCTTGAGCCCAAACTTCAGGTATGAGTGAGTTTTATAGCTACTTCAAGGAAGAGTATAGTGTATTTCCAATGAGAGCATATTTGAGTTATGTTTTTGCAATGTTTGGTGTGACTTTCACATTTATATGTGCTTGTTCTTACATATTTTTTATTGTATAAAATGTAGAAATAAATAGAATAGCCACTAGTGGTGGGGTAGATTACTTACTACAATCAGTCTGCCCAACTACCTAAAAAAGTTGAGATGAGATATTAGTCACATATAAATAGGAATTGTTTTCAGTGAGTCAGCCGACTGATAAAGCTGCAATCTGAGAACTTTCTCTCTCAGGTCCACTCCTCTGCTCAGTGGGCGGGTGCAAAAGCCAGCCTGCTATTGGCCATTGCAATTTGAAATAGCCAATAGCTGTCTGGCTATTGCTCCCCCCACTGCCCGCTGTGTGCATTCACCAGCCAGCTGTGGCAGATGAATGGGGCCGCAGGGAGTGGGGTGCAGCGGGGGGAGGGTGTGGCTTAGGAGTTACGATTAACTCTCAAACAAACAGACACTACAGATATCTGGCATCTACCTATCCCCTTTGGTATCGGATAACTTATTTGCATGGTATATCTAAGAAAATTAATGAAAACATTATACATTCACCCTCATAGCAATCAAACTCTTCCATTAGTTTTCTAAACTGCACTATGAAATTGAAAACAACTCAATATCTATGGAATATAACAGTTTTTTTACAGTATGCTGTCGTGTATATTATATAATATACATGTACACATTTTGGTCTGACTTCAATTTTATTTTTTGGGAAGTGGTTAAAATAGGCTATAAACATAAAAAGTTGTTGCAATAGTGTTACAGGATAACATCAAAAAGCAAAGTGTAACTTTTTCCCATTGTAGCAGTAGACTTAGAGTGACTAGTGGAATGTTGTCTAGGAAGTGTTCCAGAAAGTACAGACAAAACTGATAGACTGACATCATAAGGAAATAGAAAAATTACACCTAAGTAGCCACAACCTCTTCTTTTACAGTGCATTTTACTGTATGCTAAACAGAATAGAGACTGTGATTAGTCAAATAAATACACCTTTAAATTCCAGGAGCATTAGATATACTTAGACAAGGGGCATAGTAAATTGTCACCCGTGCTAACTGACAAAATGGATGACTCTGTGTTTTCTTACTTTATAGCCAAAATGCAATACAGTCCATTCTTGTCCTTCAAATTCATCAAGGAATATGTCTACTAAGACAAATATTGTCATCCCTATGTATGTTGGAATTATCAAAGGTTCATTTTTCGGGGACTCCAAAAAGATCACAATCCCAATAGGTTAAAAGCAAAAATCTTATGAACCCTCATAGAGTTTATAGGTACCCATTTGGAGCTTCAGATAAAAAACTGCACACCTGGGTAATATTGTATGTAAATGTATTATGGAACTCAACTATTGAAATGCAATTGCAGTAATCAGCAATTAATCAGCTTGCAGCTCTTGGTTTTCTTCTGCAGAGCATATGATTTGAGAGGCTGATATGCACAGCACCAATATTTACTTTTTAATACAATCAGTTTTCCTAAATGACCTATGGCCTTATAATTTTAAGCACCTTGATGGCAGGAGTCTTGTGACCTTTGAAATTATTTTTTAACATTTTTTTAAATGTTTTACTTTTGTTTAAATTTTTTTTTTATTCTGCTCGCTACCTCGGAGGTGTCAAGCAGAATAGCCAAGCTCACTGCGGTTCGACCCCTGTGAACAGCAGCGAGTGAACTGCCGATGTACAGCTGATTTAGCTGGGTTATTCACTCGACTGCCTACGGCAGCTTGGTGAATAACCCCCTAAGTGTAGCCAAAACTTTTTTTAGTTTTGGATACATTTGGTAAGGATTAAATCCCTTGTTAAGTTTTTGTTTTTGCTGTCTATGTTCTACTGGGGGATGACTCCTTTTCTTCATGTCTTGGAGATGCAACAGCAAGTGAGAGGAACATCTTAGACAATTGTTAACAGGGCATTTGTCCCCACTGGATTATTTCCATTCACTTCTTGCTCTCATGACAACCATAAAATGTAGGATTTCCCCTTACTTTTGGTCTCAATGACAATGGTCACCAGGGCAAACCAAGGGGTAAATCTCCTCAGTAGGTAAACAGACCACAATAAAGCTTGGTATGTGGTCTAATACTTCCCTATTTTATCCGCATCTGAAAAAAAAAAACGTTTTACCTTTACATACACTTTAATATCTAGCCCTGCATAAACTGACTTTTTTTTGTGGCAGCTATTCATTTTTTTTTAAATATAAAACCAATGTTTAATATTTTATGGGCATACAGGGCAAAGTTAAAGGTATGTGCGGTGATGCAGATGGAACTACAACAACTGAGACTGAAATTAGCAACATGGCTCAGTATGCTTCTCGCTTCCTGATTGGTGAGGTAGGTAACCTTTTTAGTACCATTTTACTTGTCATATACATGTTTAATATGTTTGTTCAATAAGTCTGCAACTTTAATTTCACTAACCTTTTCCACAGTGCCCTGAGGAGGACCATCCTCCCCCTCCATCTGAGAATCAAAAGAAGTTTGTTGAAAACCGATGCGGCCTTCTCATGAGTGAGGACTTTGCTCAATGCCTTTATGAGGTAAAAATTGCTTTTGAATATTTTCAGTTTATTGGAGATTATATTAGAGATTATTGTACACAAAGGTTATTTAGAAATGTACTACCTGCTAACTGGCCCCCTGATGCCAGAGGTGATGAGGGTCCATGGTAAGCCCATATAATTGCTCATAACACAGTGATGTAATCACATATAATCCACACATGATGTTCTTACCCGACAGGATGATGTTTGTCATAATAATGTAATCCTTTCCTAAATTGTTTGCATTTACTAAAATTGATGTACCTGGAACAAAACCAAAATGTTAACTTAAAAAAGAGTGTTAGCATAAAATGGAAGTAAATAGGGACTACACAGTACATAATATAGATTTTGCTTTCTATTCAGAATTTTACTAATCTGTATTGTAGAACAGAATATCAGATGTCATGTAACCTAAGAAGAGAGTTTTACCTGGTTCTGCGCAAACATACAGCTATAGCCATAGCACTCAGAAGAAATGAGGGAGCTTCTTGGATGAATGGCTAAGCACATTAAGCATTATAGAACAAGTCCAGTTGAATATACATTACCACTATTAAAACTATAGCCATAGCAGACCATGTGACTGCTATGGGGCTTGGAAAAACAGGGAGCCCAGAGCTTCCTGGCTTTGCAGTGATTTCAGCAGCTTGTAATAGTTTATGAAAAATACTTAGTCAAAATAAATGTACAGTATATAAATGCTATGAAATCAGTTAGTATTCTGTAACATAATTGTATTTGAGATAGAGATTAAAAACAACCCATTTTACCCTAAAGTGTTATTAGGATAAGTGAATGTTAGCTTGAGGGACTGAGATGCAGTTATATAAAAATGGTTAAGAACACAGTACTGAAAACACAACACTGTTCCTAATGTGTAACTCCTTACCAAAATAACTTTTTTATTTTTTATCATGAAACTCTTTTAATGCTTATGACATGTCTGTCTTCATCTCAGGTCAATGTGGAGCCTTATTACATGGCTTGTGTGGAGGAAACAGAAGCATGCAGAGAGGGTGAAAGCTGCCTCTGTTACTGCACCGCATTGGCAGCTTATGCTCGTGCCTGCTGCCGGAAGGGTATCTCAGTCGAATGGAGAAGCCCTGACACCTGCCGTAAGTATAATAGCAGAAATATGAAATCATTATGGTCTATGTGTGAATTACCTGATAATCAACCTGTTTTTTTCTCTTTCAGCATCTCCTTGTGAATATTATAACAGAGGTAAGATGTCCATACTTTCCTATAGTCCAAAACTCATAGTGGAGTTAACGATGTATTTATATTTTAGATAGAAGACAGTTATTCTAACTTCGGGTCTTGATTACTGTTTAAGATGCTGGAGAGGGACCGTACCGCCTTCTGATGATCAACGGCAAGTCTCTGGTAGCTGATTATGATACCAGCGCAGTGTCGGTGGACAATGTTGATACTCCTGGAAATCTTAAAGCCAGCTTCATGGTTACCCGAGGCCTTTTTGTAGACCCATTGAGTAAGTTATGAACTTATGTGCCAGTTATTAAGTTTATATACCTTTGTTGCAATGACTAAAGTATAGCACCAGGCCAAAACAAACATGTTACTCTCCCATCACTCATTGTCCTGTTGTCCTGTTTATTTGCTTTTCTGTATTCTGGAAAATCTATTCAAGGCGTATTTCACCGGAATTATGGCTTTGCGGTGGACAGAAGAGTAAGGGTAAACTTAGTGATTTTTCACAACTGAATTAATTTAAAGATAGACAGCATGAAGCCATCAATATGGATTTAGGGGCCTTTTTCGATCTTCTGTATACTTAACCTGTTCATGAATAGGGCATTTCTGTTCTGTGTGCTTTATAAAAAAAATAAAATGTTTACAGATGTAGAGTGCTTGGATACTGCATCAATCTATTGTTTCTGCTTCTTGACAATAAAAGGTAGAGGTGGACAGGCCAGTATGGCAACCATGGGCTTTGGCAAGCCTATTGTATCACTGTAAAGTAGCTCACCAGCTGTGAGAGACTGGAATTAATTTATAAAAGGCAAATAGGCTGTTCACTTTGCGAGGGAATTTTCACCTAGCTAGGACATTATTCATTAGCTTATTGAATGACAGAAGCATCGCTGGCTTTCATCATCCAATCATGTGCACGCAAAAATATTATTTTTCCCCTGCACATGATTGGGTGTTTGCAAAGTGAATTTTCACCACATTCACATCCCTTGCAAGTGAACACCCTTTACCAGCCTCTACACTCTAAACATGGCTGTTAAAAACAATCTTTTCAAATAATGTGGAAACTACACCTGAGTATGCACCTTTCAATGTAGGCTCTAATTTCCATGCATCTCTATGTATGTAAGAGTATGCATGTGTATTACAGGTGTAATTTAAAGAGGTTTTCCATTTTCACAGAGAACAAGGAAAACCTCTGTTCTTTCTTCCCCCTTAGGGGTGTTGTGCTCACAAATCTGGCCATTCAACAGTTTCACCAGCTCTCAAGAGCAGCCCAAAAACTACCATAGATCAGATGTGCCTCCACTGGAAATCCACACCTAACAGAGTCCACTCTGGAAACCAATGTTTCACAGGAAAAAAGAAACAGACTGTAGAAAGTAGAGCAGAATTTTACAGCCTATGAATTGCTTGACAGTTTTGTTGAAACAGCTGATTGGCAGGGACCTTAGTGGTTGATCAGGCATTCCTTTAACCCCTGAAAGTATTTATTTTTCCTTGTATGACTTGGATCAATGTTAAAGCACCAGCAGTTGAATTCTAGAAGAGGTAGGTTATACAAAATGCAAAACATCTCTTGCCTTACCATACTGTCTTAGGTGGAAGAAGAAAACACTTATCCACACATGGGATCATGACAAAACAGGCTTATCCAGCAATAAGGAAATCATGATGCATTTTGTAGAACAAAGTGCTTAATCATACAGACTTTTACTTCTGTTGAATGTTTAAACTGTTTCCTATGTATAAAAAAAAAATGTCACTGGTTTCCCCCATGTGTGGGCCAGCATTTTCTTCTAAATTGTGGGTAAGCACAGTTTGGCTGTCCTACACAGTTGTTGACAAGACATGCTAGCACTTTAAAAAAATATATATTTATATACAAATGTGTACTTTGGCAAAACATATTTTACACATTTGTGTCTTCATCAATAAACATGTTATTAATACTTTGAATCTGATTTGTCCTCAGATGGCAGAAAGCTGATTTCCCTGGAGTCTGCCCAGCACCACAACTTCTTCATTGTGCAGAATGATGATGGAACGCTAAGCCTGAAGAAGTGGCAGCCAAGTGTGGACTTTCGCTCACAGGCCACTTTTATCCAAAGGCCAAGCCGCTGGGTCAAGGGCTTTGATGCTCTAGAGTCATACGTTTCCCGTGGAAATTATCTTTCCCTTAGCAACAATGGACTAGTTATGTCACGGGTAAAGTCAGGAAATATGCTGCAGATGAACTTCAAGTTAGTTGGTAAGATATTTTTAAAAACAACAGACTGAAGAAGCTTTAATTCGGAAATATAAACGTGTCCACACCTATATGGAAGCTGAGATAACTGAGGCTGTATTAATCTTGGCTGTGTAATATTGTTCAATGTGAGCCACCACTATAATCTGAAAGTGTCTTGCAAGTACGTAGCTTTAGTAGTATTCCTCTGTAAGGAAAATCAGATGTGTGTAGGAAAGTCTCTTCTGCCAGAATATCCCATTTATGTTAAAGTGAACTTCTACTCTATCTTTAATTTTTAAATATAAGTATCTTGCTGAAGAGAAGAAATCACAAGATGTGTTCTATAATTTTTTTATTAGCCAGAACGTCTCTTCTGTGCCCTTCTCTGATTAGTTGTACTTTGTTACCAGATTCTGACTTTCCCTGACTTCCTAGTTAAGTACCACCAACTGTCACCCTCCTGTCTAATGAGAGTACCCACATTGACCTTTGCGGCACTGTCATTGGACAGTGGAATGGTGGTTGGCAGGGATTAGGGGTGAAGCCAGGGAAGCAAGGCCCCAGTAACAAGGTGAAACTAACTGGCATACTATACAGTATATTCCTTTTATCAATTTTTTAAAATGACTTTGCTAATATGTTTACCTATTTTACAGAGGAAACGTTTGGATTGCCATCATTCTCTATCTGTACATGGAAATACAGAGCTTGTGCTAACCCATGCATTCAAACCTGCCAAGATCCTTTGGGTACCAAGTGTACATTAACACTCAAGTAAGTAGTAAACATTTTGGTACTTCTTAAAGTGCACCTAAAGTCTAAAGCTGGCCACACACTGCTAAAAAAAATGTTGGCCTATTGTATGTATATTGTACATCAAATGCAGGTGCTGTTCAGGTATTCAGCAGCCTCTGAATACAATAGCCAACATCAGGCATTTCTCCATCGGTGCTAAATTAATGTATTTCTCTCATTCACGAAAGAGAGACATTTGCAGCGTTTATGGCCAACTTAAAAGTAAATAAGCATTGCCTCATATATAGTCATAGTTCCTAAAAAGATAACCTTATACTGCTTTACTTATCACTGCTAAACCCACTGGAAGGGATTCAGAGGTTGATGAATCTTATGAAACTAAAGAAGAACTCTGAGTAGCAGTGGCGTTACAAGGTGGGTGCAGGGGGTGCGGCCCACACCAGGTGATACCATCTGAAAATTCGGGCACTCGGTCATGGACTGAGAGCCCAACAGCTGCACGGGAGCGGAAGGGACCCAGCGGCATACCTTATCCTGCCTGATGAACTTCCCCTCCTCTCTTTCCCGACCAAGATGGCCACCGGCAGTGACATGCACAAGTGTAATGATGTCACGTGTGTAAATAATGACATGCGCACTGTGTGACACCTGGTGGCTGCACTGGGTGACAACAGGCCTGGTGATGCTCGCTGCTGAGCAGAAATAATTTTAAACCTGGTAGTGCGGTTACCCCTGCACTGCATGGGTTAAGTGCTCATTTTCATCTAGGGTGCATAATCAAAACGATATACTCACCTGAACCATAGACCAATAACCGCAGCCTCTCTCCTCCTCCGCTCCAGCGATTGAATGTCCCTCAGCATCATCATGTCTAATACACTGTATAGGATGCGATGACTCACAGGACCTTAGACCATTGAAGCAGAGGCAGTGCCAGATTTCCCACAAGGCCACCAAGGCAAGGAGTAGAGGGGCGGCATGTGGTGTGTGGAATTCCTACCGCCCGACGCCCAGGACAAGTAGTTTCGGGCACCGGGTGGGTAGATTTTTTCTACATCAATCCCTGCTTCGAGCAAGCAGAGCTAAATATGGAGTGTTGGAAGCCGCTGCTCGTTTTGTACAAGGGGTGATGCCAAGATCATTTGTAATTAGCTTTCTCGTCCGTCCTCCCCTGCCACACCCCCTCCAACTGCCTCTGTCCCGACTGTCCACCTCCCTCCCCGCCTTGGTTTTCGGGGTTCCTTGCTCTTTTGGGGCACCCGGGACCACAGCACATTCGTTCAGGATGGAGAGCGGGGAGCAGAGCAGAGAATGTCCGTTCTCTGCTCTGTAAACACTGAGATAGGAGAACTGCACTTGCAGCCTTCCCATCTCAGCTGTCACAGGAGAGCCAGCACAGTGCGGTGCTCAAACTTCAGTATTGGAGGTGACAGGTTCAATAAAGAGAACCTGTAATCTCCAAATGTTAGCACACTGGGGCTTGTTGACTCCTGTGTGATAACAATAAGATTAAGTGAAAAAAATAAATACAAATTGATAAAAAGTAAAAACATAATAAAATAAATAAAAAGTAAAAGATAATAAGAAATAATAATAAAATTAAAAAAATAAAAAAATAATAAAAACGTAATCACATTGAGGAACCTGGCCTTGGGGCAGCACAGAGAGTAAATCTAGCCCTGAGTGAAGGTGGTGAGAGGCTGCAGGGATGGATCTAGCAAATGGGTGGGTCTGTGGTTAAGTATATCTTTTTTTTTTACACCCTAAACAAAAACGAGCACTTAACCCTTGCAGTGTGGGGCAGCCTCTCTGCACGGATTAAGATTATTTCTGCCTAGCTCCCTGGCTGTCATGCTAACCCTCATGCATTGTTAATCTATCAGTAACCCAGGACCAGTATGCAAACTTTGTGAGGTTCCTGATCTGCGAACCTGTTGTGGCTCAGTTGTTATAATTGCCAGGAAACTAGCATTGTCAGAAAAAGACAAAAAATGGCAGCCCCTGTATTTTCCTCCTTAGACGTTTACTTTAACTGACTGCTGATTAAACTTATAATAGGCATTTACAGTATACTAACTGGTTGCACTTGATTGTTGTTGTAGAGTTGAAGGCTGCTACCCTATCTGTGCCCCTGGAATGGTGTTTGATGAAGTGACCCATCGCTGTGTACAATTCGAGGACTGTAAGTAGTTTACAGGTTCTCTGTGTTGAACATGTCAGCATTTAAAAATATATATATGTAATTTAGCGATGGTCTTAAAATATGCAAAAACAGAATATTGTCATGGTGCTGCATGCTATTTAACCAGTTGACTGTAAAATATTTTTACTTGTACTGTAGTAATGAAGGCATGCACACAATTATATTGCTATACATAGAATTTATTTTATCCCTTGTAAACTAGCACACTAAAATAGGGGTCTATTCACAAAAGGGTGAAGGGTTTGGAGAAGGCAGGAGAAGTGAACAATCTAGGCCAAAATAGCTGATTTGGAAAAATTATAAAATTCAGCTCACTTTCCAGTTCAGCTATGTTGGCTTAAATGGTTCACTTCTCCTGCCTTCTCCAAACCCTTCACCCTTTTGTGAATAGACCCCTTAAAGTAATAACGTTGTTTGCATATAAAACCCATAATTAACTTGTTCATGAATTTACAAATTTTGCATTGACTTAACTTTGCAAAACTTTATTGCAGGTATTACTCCTCCGTCCCTGTCTCCTCCTGTCTTTACAACTCCTGAGCTGGTAAAAATTGATATGACTTTAAATATGTGGAAAATCATTAGGTTAAATCAACTGCAGATCACAAAGCACAGTGACGTAGTGGTTAGCACTTCTGCCATGCAGCACTGGGGGTCCCTGGTTTGACTCCTGGTTAGGACACTATCTGCAAGGAGTTTGCATATTCTCTCTGTGCTTGTGTCGGTTTCCTCCCACACTCCAAAAGACATGCAGGAAGGTTAATTGGCCCTGTATGTGTGTGCAATAGAGACCTTAGTTTTATAACTTCCTTGCTGGTAGGGACTAGACATGTGCACGGCAAAAAAAATTTGTTTTTGGATGAAACAAATGAAAACGAAAAACATTTTCATTCTTTTCATCAAAGGAAACAAGTCTTTATATTGTTTCGGATTCGGAGGCAACGAGCCTCGAAATCCGAAACCACACACTGAAACTACAGAACGAGCCGCCGATATGGCCGCCGCGATCTGCTCATGTGCGCCACTATCTTGGAGTGTACCTTGGTATACACCAAGATGGTGGCTCCCACATGTTTGAACGTCGCCATCTTGGTGTATACCAAGCTATACTCCAAAATGGTGGCTCGCCGGCGGCCAATATGGCCACCGCTCGTTCAGCGCGTGATGTCACCATCATGTGATGTCATACGCTCCGCCTCCAAGATGGCGGCAGGCATGCGCAGAACAAGGCAGCGGCCAATATGGCCACCACACGTTCTGAAAACAAATTTATGTATGCCCGGGCATATAATAAATTAGTTATTTCGGATTGGGACGAACCGCCGAATCAACTGATTTTCATTGATTTGCAGGTTCGTCCGAATCCGAATGCACATGTGTAGTAGGGACTGATGTGATTGTGCAACTATGTAAAGTGCTGTGAAAAATGTCAGCACTATATAAATAAAAGTAGTAACATTAACAAAAGGTTCACATCAAAAACTATTGATTATGTCAACTAATGAGTAGTCAGTTTTCATGGCAGCCCAATGTGACCAACCAGTTATTTGTTTTATAATTGTCTAAACTTTAGCAGAGTTATCAGTTGTCAGCTATGATGTGCCAGAATTGGATGGATCCATGCTTCTAACATAATATTGTTTTTTTTAATTTTCTGTGCAGGAGCCTTGCAAGAATGTTGTATGCAAATTTGTCACATGTAAAGCAGGTGAAGAAAAGGTGGAAGTGCCTTCTAATGACCCATGCTGTAAAGAGTACATATGTATTGGTGAGTTACTAAAGCTATTGGACTCATTCAAACCACACTCGCAGGACCAGACAATTGGGTGAAGATCAACGTTTATATTAAAAGGGGTCATGATTTAGATGTACAAAATGTTTAATGGTTTAATCAGCAATAGACTTTTCACTGCAAACTCACTAAAAAAGACTAGAGGCCACCACCTAAAATTGGTGGAGACATGATTGAACTACAAAGGGTGTACAGGCTTCTTTTCAGTTAGATTTTGTAACTCTCTTCCACAAGCAGTGGTATAAGCAGAGAGTAGTGAATCATTAAAAAATCATTTAGACATCTTCCTCAGAGAATATAACATACAGGGGTACGGGTACTCTTAAAAACTAGGCCACACAGGGACTCAAACTGCATGTACACAAGTGCACACAAACACACGCACATAAAGGTTGAACTTGATGGACCTGTGTCTTTATTCAACCTCAAATACTATGTAAGTATATTAAAACTTGGCATATTATTTTTATTTAGTTGCTTTGGATCTAGTGATAATTTTAGCATTTGATATCATGTTTTTTTTATCATGCTCATTTTAATTTGCTCAGGTTTGGGTAACGCTTACTTGGCTCACCTTGTTTTTTTCTTTTTATCAGGTACCACACCTGTTCCACCGACAACATTACCATCCACACCTGTAAGTATATGATCCAGCGTAAGAAAATGTCACAACTGACAGTGGCCCACATTAATAACAATGGCCCTCATTAAAAATGGCTAAAAGCAGCCTCTAAGTCAGTATTATCACATCTCAGCTTGCCTTAAAGAGTATCTGTCACCAGACCATTCATTTCAACAACAATATTTCCATAAGATTTTATGTGCATTTAACATATTTCGGCTGTGTCATTTACCTGCAAAAACCTTTCTTCTGCAGACATCCAACAGCCCTGAGGCTGCTGCTGGGTGCCATCATCTTGTATATGATGTCAGCAGCCCCAGCAGACTTAAGTGACACTCTGTAGCAGGGCTAAACACCGTCCCTCCAGCTGTAGTGAAAATACAAATCCCATCATGCATCTCCCTCTAGGAGTCATGCTTGTGGCTTTCAGAGTTTTGCAATGCCTAATGGGATTTGTGGTTGCACCACAGCTGGAGGGCCCGATCATGCCTACCCCTGCTCTATAGTCTTCTCTCCAGCAACTACATAAAAGTTTATACAGGGAGTTAAAGGGAGGGGTGGAGAAGCTTGGCCAGCACAGACAGTAATTAGACACTTTCAGAAAAAGAGAGGGCTATGACATGCAAGGATGGAAGTGGGATCTGTGCTAGGGAATTGAACCTTGCTGAAGTGATCTAATTTTTCAGTAAAGTTCAAAGGCACACTGCACGTAATTACAAAACGCAGGAATGCAATTACTTGATTTTTGTGTGCCTATACCTGCAATTTGTTGTGTTGCTCACATGGTCTCTTTACGTGCTATTTAGCACACCTTAGGTCCTATCACAGATGAATTGAGTCAATGCCCTCTACCTGCCTAGTACTGTTTTCCTTTAAAAACACAACATATGTAAAAAGTACTAAAAAAGCTCTATAGTGCATTCAAATGCATGTAAAATTGCATATAAACATGGTAAAACTCAAATATTTTCCAGTGCACAGGTGTGATTGCACCATTATTCATTGTTGGTTCTATGATTTTACAATCCCTTAACTGGTAAAAAGGCTGTTGTTAGCTGAACATGTGCAAACAATGCAGCCAACTTGAGCACTGCATGCAATAATATGCTTGTTTGCCAAAATAAATGTGTAGGAGTTCATATACAGCGTCACATTTATGCCAATTTGAATAATACCATACCATTTTCTTAAGTGGCATAGTCTACTTATATGCATTTTCCAGGGTTGCTGTCTTCTAATTAATGTATGCTGCAATTTCAAGTAAATTCAAAGGGCACCTTCCATCCAGATGAATGATACCGTATGTAAAATGCACTACGCATTAAATTGCTATGCACTTAAAATGTTTGCATCATTTTAAAACACAAAGTCAGAATGAGTCAGTTGTCGATGTCATAAGATTATTGGGTTCACAGTTTGCATCCTCGTTTAGAGAAACCAATTGGCTACTGTGTTTGCTGGTCAGCATGTTAGTATCATAAGAAATAAAGATGGTGTTAAATCACCCATTTGGCATTACTTTTATGGACAGATTCAGCACAGGCCCAATGCTGCTCCGAAACTTACTGCAACCAATAGATACATGACATTCGTACACGAGGGAAATCATTTTTTACATCAGTCATAATATAAAAGTGGATCTCTACTGAGATGTTAATACCGAAGTATGGTAATAGCCTTGCCGGAATGGCTAAAGGAAAATTAAGACAAACTAAAATACTTATTTTTCATGGACAAAATAATGCTGCAGTATCCCTAAAGTACTGCTCGCATATCTAGAAGCCTAGGCATTTTGTCATGTGATCTCTGCTGAAAGAAAGAACTAGGGTTTAGATTGGCCGATCCTCCCCTCTAGCAGAGATCATGTGGCCAGAAACTTAGGCTTTGGGTTGTGTGAACAGCAATTGAGGGAACACCATTTTCTCTAGGAATGATACATATTTTATCCCTTCTGTCCCAGAAAGCAAGTCTTTCTGTTTTTCCTTTGTTATACTTACCTGCAAGAGTGTTAACAATAGAGTACAATTTTCTGTTATCATAAACACTTGTATTGGCCTACTGGGTGAATGTAAATACGTGAGAAAGAAGCATCCAGATGCCATGGGCTTGGGTAATACTGTAGAGAAGGGCAGAAAATATGCTGTTTTGGATGCTGGTGGACACGTGACCTGGCAACGGGCAATGCTCCGTGCTTTGGTCTGCTGGGTGAATGTAAATACATGAGAAAGAAGCATCCAGATGCCTGACAGGTATGGCAGTAATATATGCCAAGTGTTATAATAAGTTTATAATTTAAAGTAGAAATAGGTACAACAACCATGACTTTATGTGTGTCTTGCAGAACATTTGTGAAAATGTAGGTTGCCCACCACCAGAGAAATGTATCAAGAAGGGTGCTGACCTACAGGAAGTTCCTTGGGGAGATCCATGCTGTCCTCTGTACAAGTGCAGTAAGTCCCATTATAATCAAACATATTGAAATGGAATCATGCCTGCTGATAAGACTTCAAGATCAAGAAAGGAAACTTAACAGAGCCATATAACATAACCACATACATGTGTGAACAAAGGTGTGCCATTCCTTGTGGTCAAGGTGGTCCTTGTTACATGGCAGATTGCATTTAGTGATTTCAGTAACTCTCTGCTTCACAACTATTTAAGCAGCTATTATTCTCAAGTTATGTTTGATGAAAAACGTTAAAGTGGTACTCCAGCCAAAATTGCTCTTGTGGGCAAGGCTACATAACCTCTGAAAGGTTTTTATTGCATTGTCTCTTTTTAAAAGGATTTCTTATACTGGGTTGGAAAGGGTTATCAGCTCTGTTAAAATTGAACTGTCTGTATCCACGCTGGGGAAGTTTCCTCTCATTTTTAGGTTCTCACTGACGGGGGCTTCTGCACCTAGTGGTCACAGACGTTTCTCTGCTGCCTTGCATGGATTTTCAATAGCAGAAATTGTAATATATTGCCTTGTGATTCAAAGGTCACCAGTTTTACAACATAACACTGGATGTATATACATAACTTTACTGGAGTGGCTAGAGATCAGTTTTTTCAGAGCATCATATGTAATAAAGAATGCACATTATTATTGTTTTTGTTGAAATACAATTCCATAACACATGATAAAGGTTTAATTCTGAAGCAATAAAAAGTAAATGTTTGCTAAAGGTAATACTTTTCTTTTCAGTGTGCAAGGAGACATGTGCACCTCCTCCCACTTGTAAATATGACAACCCACCAGTTCAAATTGGCGACCCTGACACCGAATGCTGTCCAGAATATACATGCTGTAAGTATCTGTAACAAAAGTGGAACTAAAGCCTAGACTTTTTTGGCTTACATTTTCAGGATTATTTACATTTTAGAATTATCTAAAGTTGATTTTTTATTTGAATTTCAGAGTGTGGAAAGATTAGAACTTTTATCAAATATCTATTACTGGCTGTTTGTTTGTTGGAGAGATTCCCCCTCACCTTCTTTCCTCTTGACAGCATTGTCGACAGGACAGAAAATGAAAAGAAATTTCTCCACCAGGGAGACAACAGCAATACAAACAGGATTTTAGCTGAGCAGAAGGAGGCTAGAACTTATGGGTGGGTTTTTATTGCTGTCTCTGCTGGAGGTTTCCCCTCACTTCCTGTGACAGCAACAATGTTATCACTAGGACAGGAAGGAATCGCTCCAGATACAAACAGCAATAGAAACCTGTAAGAGGTTCTAAACAAAACATAGCTTTGGCTGGCGCAATTAATGGATGATTTCCTGGAAACACTCACATATCCCTTGTTTGTGATCCCACTATGTGTTACTACAGAGGGGTCTGCTTCTCATACCACTTAACCTAAACCTAGCACTATTATTTTTGCAATTTTCTTGCAAAACATTCCCTTTAATTGTTTCTTGATTACTATGCCTGCTGTCTAGGGCTTATTATAACAGATCCTTGTGGGCACCTTTACATGTACATGTGCATGGACATCAGACTCAGAAGCAAGTCAAATGTAATATGCTTTGTCAGAATTATTTTTACTTGTATTTAGGTTACTTTGAATTGTCTGTACACACAATTCCTTAGGGCACTCTGATTATTATTTTTTAGAATTATAATGGTTATTATTTAGTATATAAAGAAGTCATGTACTGTACTCTAATTTTGTGTAAAACACACTTTTAATGACAAATAAATATGGTTAGAATTAAATTCTGTGGAACATTGTTTAGGCCATAGAATGAAAAAATAAGTAGCACGGGTTTTGTTCATAACATCGACATTGATCCCATCTACCTTTTTTCAAGTTGATGGGCAACAAAAATGCTTTTCTTTGGGCAAGGTTTTAGTTTGGTAGCTGATAAATGCTGTGTCATACATGTAATCATTACTTATATATGTTTTTACAGTACCTGAACCTACACCTCCACCAATTGTCACTCGGGTAAGCAAAGAAATTGCTAAACACTATTTTCAATTTAATAAAATTCAGTTCATGTAGGGCTACACCTATTCGCCAGCATCTCTAATTCTGAACTGTATTTGTGATTTATTGTGCTTTCTTTAGAAAACTCACTTGCCTTGGTACCACATTTCCATGTTTGACATGTCCTGGTAAAACTATTCACCAAGCTTATCAGTTAATATACCATGATTGTCAAAAAAAAAGTGAGCGTTCTGAAAAAGGTTTTGCAGACACTTTTAGACCTCATTCACACTAGAAACGGCCGGCACGTACAGCTCCGTGCTGCGAGCACAGCCATATCGGACAGCTCTCGGGAAGGACAGGTGCAGTGTGTGATTAGTATGCAGCCTCTGTCCTTCTCTACGGAACTACTACGCGGCCATATGCCCCCCTACGCTCACCTCAAGTGCAGGTGCGTACGGGTGGGGTGTCCCGGCTCGGTGCAGGTGCGTACGAGTACATGTTTTTTTTTTTTAAGTTCATGTTTTTTGTGCAAAGGGGGCAGGTAAACCTTTTCAGTGTAGAATTTGCGCCCACCTCTTTTTTCCTGAAACACAG